TTAAAAATAATTCACACCAAATATTTGAATAAAATAGATAAAAATGCAGATATTAAAAAACTTCAAATACAACTCTCAAAATTAAATAAAGAATATGACGAATTATTAAACAAAAGAAAAAATCCATCATTTTTATATTTTGATGCTCAAAGATTCCAACATGAAAACCAAAAATTGCAAAATGAACTTCAAGCTGTTCAATTAAAACATATATCCTTATTAAAAGATAGTGATTGCGATAATTATTTCATTTCAATGATTCAAACTTCGAAAAAAGAAATAAAAGAATTAAAGCATACCCAAAATAATCAAAAACAGCGTCAAATTGAACTTATTCCAAGAGATTTTGATCCAATTCAAAAGCTAATTGATCAAAGAAGTCATCTTCAAAAAGAATATTTCATTCTTCAAAAAGGAACTCAAGAAGAAACCAAAAATCGAAGGCGTGAAATTCGTGCTGAGTTGTCAAAATTGCCTGAAATTCCAACAGAGTATAACAGACTTGTCGAAACTCTTGAAAATCTGGAAATAGCAAGAAATCAGACAAAAAAGGCAATTGAGGCTGAAACTGCCGCAATTCAATATTTCAATGAAAGTGTTTTCCAGAAAAATGAATCTCAGAATAACTTGGAGATAAAGAAGAGAAGACTCGAGCAGTTTCATGTTCAATTTGAATATGAACAAGAAAATATGAATCGATTACGAAAATCAGTGGAAGAAAGAGTTGAAATTTCTGAAAAATTGAGAATCATCGAAACTAAATTTATGAATTTATTTGGCGATAGAATTCCGTCAAAAACAACAATGACTCTTCCAGAAAAAATCGAATTAGTCACGCGGCAATTCGATAAGAAGAAATAATATTTCATCTAATTCGGCAAATGATTTTATCATCTATAATTTCTTAAATGTTATTATGCGTTTTATATTTAATGATATTTTATTATGATTATTTTGTCATCTTTTTTTACCAGATATGCATTCGAATTCAATTGCATAAAAGTTTGACTCACAATAGATTAATTCATCAATATTCACTTTCAACAATAATAATTCATATCGATATAATTAATGAAATATAAACTAAGCATGTAAATAATCCAAGTTTGACTCACAATAGAATAAACTATTCATGTTTCGAATTTATGCAATAAATATACAAAAATAAAATCAAATAAAGAGAATAGTAAAATGATAGATTTTTACAGAAGCCCCCAATCATCAGGTAAATCTGCATCATCGAAATCGAGATCATCATCATATTTTGGAGCACTATTTCCTTGATTTTTATCGTTATCAGTATCATTACTTTTGCTTGAATCCTTTTTACTACTTTTCTGATTTGGTTCATCAGGCATATCACTTCTTCCGATTGGATTTCCATTTTCATCCATTTGAATTTTGATTTTAACTGTTTCTTTTTCTTCTGGTCTAGGATATTTATCTTCATAAGCAGTACCATCATCAGCAAGGTGTCTCATATCAAGGAATCTATTTTGTATAAAGGGATCACTTGGATTACGTTTCCAGTATTCCTCTATCTCATCATCGAATTTATCAATGTCTTTTTGATCCAATATTTTAATTAGTTTTTGCAAGAAAGGATACTCATCTTCATTTCTAAAAGCCGGATGAAGCTTTATAAATGATTCCAACTTTTTATTTGCACCAATTGTATCATCCAATTGAAGATATGTCAAGACCATCTTGAAAAATGAATAATATGCACTTCTTTGTGTGAGCTGTGTTTCTATTTTTATTTTCATATGTTTTTCATAGCAATCAACAGCTTCACGATATTGTTTTTCTTCAGCGAGTGTATCTCCAAGCAGATCGTATGATTTTGCAAGTAATGATTTACTTATTTCATCTTTACCAAAAGCATCAATTGCTAGCCTTAGTAAATTAATGCCATCCTCATTTCTATCGATTTCTAAGTGCATGTTTGCTGCATCAAGAAAACAGCGCCCTGCATCATATGGTTTTCTTCCCATATCCAAATACAAGTTGCCTGCCGATTTATATGCTTCTGTTGCCAATTCAATTGCATCAGGATCTTTTGCATAGCATTTTGCAGCTTCTTTAAATTGACTTACAGCTGCTGCATTATCTTTTGTTTCAATATATAGTTTTGCTGCATTCATGTGACACTCTCCTGCCTTTTTCCAAATTCGATCAATCTTATAAGCATTTCCTGCTTGATCGTATTTATCTGCAGCTTTTGCAGGATTCTTCTTCTTTCCAAGTAAGGTCTTTTGATGGGATATTTTTTTAGCATCTTCGAATAGTTGATCTCCACGCTTCGACGACATTATGAAGCTTTTCGTCTCTTTTTGAAAATCTATTCAATTTCGCTGACTTTTGAATACAAAATTTTTTATCGTCAAGTTTTTTTCTATGAATATATTCAATTACTAATCGGGATGTCATTTGAATAGTTTATATCGCTATTCAGAGAAACTCCGCAAGTGATTTTTTTTGTCTTTATCATATCCCATTATGCACATTAATTACAAATACATAAGAACATAATAATAAATCCATTATTAGAAATAAAATGAAATCATATTTTTATATCAATATTGGAATTTGCATATGCATTTAGTTTATTTATCAATCATTGTTTAAATTTTTTTGATATTTGCTTATCGATGAAATCACATTCTATGTTTCATTTCAATACTAATTCAAATGTTGGTGTTACTTTTTCGATGATTATATATTTGTATTACACTCTATAAATATGTGTAAATTATAAATTAAGACAAGAGCTAAATAAAGTAGTTTTATTTAAGGAAATATTTTATAAACATTCATGAGTGTTTCCAAATCTTCATCGCTTCCAATGAAGCAATTTTCAATAATTTCAATCATAGTTGGTGTGAGTGGATTCACATCCTCATTGTTTGTAAAATTAAATGATTTATAAATTTCCATAATTTTTTCTTCTTCTTGAGAAATGAAATCCACAAGTGCACTCAAATTATGAGCAGGGAAATTAATTGAACTTGGTTTCATTTTCGTTAAATTCACAACGAATTTAAAAATTTTGGTGTAAATTGGATGCTCTTTCAAACTACTTGCTTTATCATGAAAAGCAAAAGCATTCATTAGTTTTTTCCCTATTGGACTTACTTCTGAAGTACTTATCCTAGGTAAAATCATTCTCAACATAAAAATAGAAGATACAGCAACAACTGGTGTCAAGTTATGTGGAAATCTTCTTCTTGTTACTCGAAAGACAGTCGAATAGAGAAATTGAAGAGTAATAGGTAAATTTTTACATGAGTTAATGATGGAATTAACTGCATTTAAAAGACTATCAGGCTTTTTACTAATTTTGGAGATAATCATGTTGCAATAGGCCTCACTAAACAAAGAAGATAGAGTTGATGCAGAAAAAGTGGCAGGATTTGTACCACGAAAAATTGTGGTGGCATCAGGAAGTGCTTGAATTTCTTGATGAAAGATAAATCTCATAAAAGTTGTAAATGAACCCGATTCCCACAGTATTTTAAAAATCGATAAAGCAACTTCTTTTGTTAAATTGACCTTTGGGATTGAAAAAAGTGCTCGCGCTAAAGCAAAATCTGATTCACCCATAATTTTATAAATCTGGGAAATAATAATTTTGGGAATTTCATTTACATATGATTGTGCGAATTTAAATGATTGAATGAATGTATCTAATGGGTCTTCGGAAAAATCTGCTGTATGAAATAAAGAAAACTCATCAACACTAAAAAATGAATATTTCAAAGTAGTGAATCCATTATTAGTACAAATACTATCACCAATAAGTGAAAATTGACCTTTTGAAAACTTTTGTGAAGTTGATCCTGGATTATTAATAATGAGTGAAGAATCTCTACAATAAATCAGCCAGCACATTCGACTTTCGCTCATAACAGGAAGAAATAAAATATATTCTAATGTGTCTCTCTTTCATGGCAAATTCACAGGAATGAGAAAATTTGCTAATTTATGAACTATTATCTGTTTTTGGGAATAATCAAAGAATTTTTGGAGAATAATTTTGACCAATTGAATATATGAACAAAATAACGCTCTTGAATTGATTGGAAGCTGTTTGATTAGCAATTCTATATCTAATTTTGGCTGTGATAAGTAAATTTCGACAAATTCTGGCGGGAAAATTAATGATGCATATTCAACTAACTCAAAGAACTCTTGTTTAAAAGGTGAAGTGTTAAAATTATCAAAAATGGAAAAAATAGTGTCACTATCCAAATCAAGGATTGTTTGATAAATTCTGGAATAAGATGATGAACTTCCAATAATATTCCATAATTTATCGATGTTATCAGGAATCAGGAAATTTTTTATGCGAATACTTGAATAATCAATTTCAAAAGTGATTATTGGTTTATCTTGGTCGCCATTAGAGTTGAATTTGAGTTGGAAGCTGTCAGAATCTGTGCTGAAGAGAGATTCTTGTTGGCGGAGGATCATTGAAAGATAAAAGGTCAACTCAAACAACTTTGAATAAAATTCAAAACTATACATCAAAATTTGAATTCTAGTTAATAGTCAATTTTTAAGTCATTTTTTATTCAATTTCTTAAAATATTCAGAAAAAACGATGGTTAATTCGGTGTAATTTTCTAAGACATCTGCGAAATTATGAAAAAAGTGAGATGATTGGTAATTATTGAGATGTTTATAAATTATCTTGGGAATTTGATTATTGAAACGAATTTTTGATGTTCTGATCAATTTGGGTGTTTAAATTTAACAACTCATTGAGTGATAAAAATTCATTTCATTGATTTGAAAAGTTTCCTTATTTCATTGTGATAAGTAGCAAATAATAATTTGTACTTGGTATAAATCCAATTGCCAAAATTTCTCAAACATCGAAATGAATTGAAAAGAAGTTGGTAAAATAAGAATTTCATTTCACTATTTCGCCTTTCACTTTTTTATTATTATCTTACAATAAATTCTGGAAAAAACTCTTGGAAAGATAGAAAACAGAAAGCGACGTGGAACAATTGGAAGTTCGTAAGGCTCATGACCTTGATGCTAGAGGTTCGAATCCTCTCGTCGCTCTTTTTTGAGTTTTTTCGTGGCACATTTTGTCACTTTATCTGATATCACAAATTTTGAATGTTTGGGAAAATTTGATAAAGTTTGATATTCAATTACCACATTTAAAATGAATTTACGATTTCGGACAATTGATGGTGAAATTTATGAGATTGATGCTGATCCAAATACAACGGTCTTACAAGTAATTGAACAAATTCAAGAAAAATATAATTTTAGAGGAGAAAATATCAAAATGATTCAAGCTGGAAGAGTTTTCGATGATAATGATGTAATTTTGAATCTTCAAATTGTTGCTGACAAGGATCTCGTATTATACATTCCAAAAAACCAAAGAAATGAAAAATGATAAAATTTCGAAAATAAATCTCTTTGATTCAAGATGAATTTGTCTTCAAAAGAATATTTTTTAAAGAAAAATAAATTGAATATCATTAGTGAATATTAGAATAGATTTTTGTTTTTTACAATTGAATTTTACATTCTTGATTTCATATCTGTTTCTTAAAATAATAAAAATAATAAGAATAAAATCTTGGAAAGAAAGAAAACAGAAAGCGACGTGGAACAATTGGAAGTTCGTAAGGCTCATGACCTTGATGCTAGAGGTTCGAATCCTCTCGTCGCTCTTTTTTGAGTTTTTTCGTGGCACTTTTTGTCACTTTTTCTGATATCGAAAATTTTGAATGTTTGGGAAAATGTTTGATAATTTGATAATGTTTGATATTACCAACATTTAAAATGAATTAACGATTTCTAACATATTATAAGATGAGAATTTATGTATTTAACTGTCTTCTTCTTTTAATGCCAAAATTCTTTGAATTAATCTTTGCTCTTCAATATTCGCTTTTTCATGAGTTTCACGATTTTGTTTTCTTACTTCAACAAGAACCTGCTGGATTTTCCTTATTCTTTTTGCATTTTCTTTTTTCTCTTTTAAAATTTGTTCTCTTTTCCTTTCATTTTCTTTCACGATTTCATGAAGGTGATGTTGAAGGTCTTTTGTATCTGGCGGTGGCTGTTTCATTTTATTTGCGAGTTTCCTAATTAAATCATCAATGCTCTCAATTGGAATGGTGTCACTAAAAACTCTTCCTTTCCATTTTGCTACAACTGGTCTTAAAAATTCCTGTTTTTGTTGAAGTTCTGAAATTTGTTGTTTAATGTAACGAATTTCATCTTTTTTCTTTTGAATTGCTATTGATTCTGTTTCAATTTCTTTTTCTAAAGTTTTCCTTTGATCAACCCATTCAAAGGCCTCAAGTGATGTCAACTTTTTATTTAAATCCAATAAGTTATCAATTAAAGTTTGAATTTGTTTCCTTTGATCTTTTAATTGTTGGTCTGTATCAGAAACGTGCTGCTTCAAATCCAAGTATTTATTTTTGTTTTTCATCAATTCTTTATATTCGATAGTAATTTCCGAAATTTTGGCGTCTAAAGCATTGCATTTATCTTTGTTTGTTTTATCTTGCATTTTAAACTGGTCAATTGCTGCGGTTAGTTCAGAAATTTGATCTTTTAATTTTGGTGCTAATTCGACTGCGTCGCGCGTATTTTCTGTGGCTTTCGATATTTGTTTCTCAATCTGACTGTTTTTTTGACGAATATTTTGTATTTTAAGTTCTAATTCAATAATTTTTGAACGATATTCTGAATTTCTTTTTTCGAGATCTTGAATTCGGTTAAGTGTGATTGATGCACGCGAATTTACTGGTAATGAACCTCTGTTTTTTTGTGTATGCATATGCGATCTTCTTCGGGCTTTCATTTTACATATAGAAAAGTTATCAATCCAAATATTTGTATTTTCACCTTCAAATTTCACCTTTTGTCAGAGATTTTGATTTTAAGAGTTTATATGATCAATCGTATTCAATTTTATGACTATTTATATTCATAAAATTTTGGAGTTTGATCGTTTTTACAGAATCTTTCCGAATATATTTGTCTGTACATTTAACAATTCAAATTACAAATTCATGCTAACGACTCCAGAACTTCATCAACAACTTTTCGAGGCTGTAGAAAAGGGAGATCTAAATCAATTAAAATTATTAATTGAACCCCCTATTACAGTCAACACGGTCGTATTTTTAGTTACTAACAACAGCTTTGTGATGTGTATGTTTTTATTTTAACTTTAGTTATGTATTAAATGGTGCTTGCACTCGCAAACCAACTTTATTAATTGTTGCTGCTTCTTTTTCACAATATACAATTCTTCAGTATTTACTTCAACAAGGGGCGAGTCCAAATATTGGCGATATTTTTTAGTATTTTGAACAAAGTTCTTCAATTATTTATAGAGTTTAATCAACTACTCATCATAGATATCCTTTACATTTTGCTGCAATGAGAGGTGATATTGATGTAATGAAAGAACTAATTCAATACAAAGCTGATGTTAACGTGCAAGATATTTCTTTTCTTATTTTATTGGGTAATTTTTTATTTTTAATGATGCTTTTTTTGAAAATCTCATCAAGTTTTATTTTTTTATTTATTATGCACCGCTTCATTATTGTGCCAATATTGGGTTTATTGAAGGAGCCAAAGCAATTCTAGATGCAGGTGGCTCAATTAATATTCAATCTCGTCTCAAAGAAACTCCATTAATGATGGCATTACTTGAAAAACAAATTGAAATGGTTGATTTTCTTATCAATTCTCGTGCTGATGTTGAAAAAGCAGGACTTCATGTTTATTTTCTTGTTTATCATGTTTTTAATTAATAATTTATCGAACACCGATTTATTATGCAACAGAATCAGAAACTGCCGAATTACTTATTCAAGCAGGTGCTAAGGTTAATTCACAGGATGATGAAGGAGTTTTTAATTATTTGTTTTATTTAACACCACTTCATGTTGCCGCTAAAAATGGTTTTGCTGATGTTGCTAAGCTTTTAATAGATAATGGCGCTGATGTTAATGCAACTGATAATCAAAAACAGACACCACTTCATTCTGCTGCTGAAGATGGTCAGGATGAAATGTGTGAACTGTTATTAGAAAATGGTGCAGAATTAAAAGTCCTCGATATTGCTCGAAGAAGTCCAGAAATGCTTGCAAGAAGAAATGAACATTATCAAGTACTTGCTGTTATATCAAGATTCCATGAAGCTACAGAAGATGAAGATGCACCTTTGCTTGTCTTCAAGCCATTTGCTGGTGTAATTAACTCACCGAATCCACCTGAAGGTTCAAATGATCCTGATTTGAAAAATGATTTCAAGTTTGATATTTCCACGGATTAATATTATCATAAAACTGTTTCTTCTTTTACCATTATTTTATTCTTTTTAATATTAATCTAAAAAATAAATAAACAATAAATAAAAAAAAGCGGGATAAAGATTATACAATAGTTTTTTATAGAAAGAAAAAATATAACATAAAATTGCTTTGTGATTAATTTCATACGCTTACATTTTCAAATTTATACAAATTATATGGGTATCTATACTTAACAGATGCTACAGAAGCTGCCTGAATGTATTGGAACCAAAACCAAGCCCATATAAAGTGATTTGTTTTTAATGGTTCCTTGAATTCTGCATTTATGACCGGCAAAGCTTCATTTATGATGGATTGAAGTTGTCTAATTTTCCTGTTGTTCATTAACATTATATCATGTGTGATTCCTTCAAGTTTCTTCATCCTGTGCATGAGGATGAATTTATGATAATCGATAAAGACTCCTTCGAATGGGAATCTGATTGCATCTGAGAAAATGTATGGAATGCATAAAGTATTTAGTGAATCGAAGAAGCGCTTAGATGTAGGTGAGTCTCCAGGTGGAATTACACAAATATTACTTCGAGTCATATTTGCAATATTTTTAAGAACTTTTGAATTGATTCCAGGTTGTTTCCTGGAAAAGCTAATGATTGCAGAATCTGGAATACCCTCGAGTGCGTCAAACATTCGACGTCTGATAATATTTGTTTCGTTAATCCATGTATCAAAAGATGCAATCATATAAACATTCAAACTCCTTTCAATATTTCTCTTAAAGTCTCTTATATTTTGGGGACTTAATTGCAAATTGGAATGAACAGGAATCATCGTCACTCTCTCAAAGAAACGTGGATTTAATACAGAGTCCTGCCATTCAACAGATTGAGTAGATATCATATTGGGAATAAACATATGGTCTTCAGGGTTAATAATACATTCGCCAAGAGTATGTTGAATTGTTTGGACGAAAAAGTGATCTATACCACCTGTGCGCTCGTAGTAAGGACCCTGGGCTCTACAATCTGCGACTAAATGTTTTAGTCGAATCGGTCCTCGAAAAGGTGATCCAATAAATTTATAAAAATATAAATCTGCTTTCTCGCCGTCTTTTTCGACAAATGGACCTGTCATAATTTTAATCAGAATTGATGTGTCGATTGCATACGTATGTTTGGTGAAATATGGAGTAGAACTGTGCTTCCAGAATTGTTGATTATCGGAAAATAAATTCATCCAGTATTTTTGGAAAACCGGGTAAGTTTTGTTGTAAATAAAAATCTTCAACGGCGCGTATCTGTCTTTGAATAAATGGTAATGCTCTGTGAATGGAGAAATTGGAATCGTATTTTCCTTTGTATGGGTATTAAAATAGGCCGCCCATCCAAAAACGCATGAAAGAAGAACGAGACAAAGAATATTTAAGATAACGACTGTTGAAAAAATGTGCTTGGGGTGTTTTTTCGAAGAGGAACTCATTGACCTTTGTGATAAACAGTTTTGATCATCTTTTTCAATCGACTTTCATATTCTGCATTTATTGGGAAATCCAACATAACAAATCCCATTTATTTCATATAATTATGCATATAATTAGTTATATTATACGATATCATTATCATTTTAATAATCTTTCATTAAATAGCGAAATATTAGCTGGAAATTAGTCAAACAAATTTCAAAATAGTCATATGTTTTCAACATTTATTTGGTCTTGTTCACACATATGTGACCATTTAAGCGAAGAATATTTTGAATTAT